GGCGCGTTAATCTTCCGGCCAAGATTCTAGGGTAGGTGGCAGGCAGGCATCCTTTTCAGGAACAGGGACTCTTCCTTTGATTCTTACACAACACGCCTCTTAGATGGGATCTTCCCTTTTCTCTCCCCGGGTGTCAGAGGCATTTTGATCTCCTCAGCCTTTCTTATCTTCTCTGGGACACGAAAATACTTCTCAAGACATAAGCAGAGAGCACTCTGATTTTGCTAGGCACATTTAAAACGTTGGGAGGGTCAGTAAACTTTACTACTACACGGCCATGAACCGGGACATCCCCTGACCGAAACGAGGTAGGCATATTTTTACACACAAGATCATCTTGCCTTGCCACTAATAATCTTGAAGACAAATACCACTTCCCAGCCAAGAACCAGCTTTCTCTTCTGCATCATTCCTACTGTGCAGGATGACCAGTGACTCATAAGGCTGTTTTTGAAAGCTAGCACTAAAAGCTAATTAAAATCTTTTCTGGTGATAAAGGGAGATTTGGGAGAAGTGTTGCCATGATTGTTTTCCCCAAGAACTTAATTTACTGCCAATTTTTCCTATCTGAATGTTACTTTCAAATGCACCCAGTGATAAGAAGCAACATCTGTTTTCCGTTCAATAGTACAAGAAGGCTCGGCATGGGGCTGAGTGTACACAGTCCATGTGAATCTATTGTTATTCTCATTCCTTTTTTGTCCCTGTGCCTGGTCCATTTGCCATGTACCATCCGGCAAACAGCTGACACATACTAGCTATTATGGACCCCGGCCTAATTGTGAGGTCTTAAAAGCTCTGCCATGTTTGTCTTGTAGGATGAATCAGAGGCCTCTCTAAACCGCAGTGCTATAGACCACGGCTCCCATTTTGCATTTTCAGAGTAGTAGCAGACTGTTGTGCAAGAGGGTTTGTCGATGTTAAAAATATAGTCAGAATCAAGTGGCAGCGTTCCCCACCCCCACCCCCACTTCTTGGCCTGGAATGTTTTTGTTTTCCTTGGTCATAAAGCATACAATTACTTATAGAATAACTATTTGTAGATATTATTTTAGCTCAGAAGCAGAAATTGGCAAATTTTCGATGTGCCAATGTAGCTCCGAGCTGGTTTGTGAAGGGGAACGGGGAAGATGTCTTGGCTGTCTGTCCTGGCCTTCCACGGCTTCGTCCTTGTATGATGGGATCGCACCGGACCAGTGTTAACAGACCACTCGATTTGGATTTCTGATTTGTGCCCCCACAGCCCTCTTGGAACAGAGATCACGATGACACGGCATCGACTCGTTCGGGAGGAACCCCAGGCCCTTCCAGCGGTGGCCACACATCACACAGTGGGGATAACAGCAGTGAGCAAGGTAGGAGAGGTGTTCTCATTCTCTTGTGCTACTTGTGTCATTTTTAAGGGTTGACAAATCAGAAATGTCTAGTTAGTTCCTATTTATGCAGTTTTCCCTAGGACATAAACCTCTTAGAGTAGGAGAGTTAGCTTCTCTTATTTTATTCTCCGGACCCTTTCTTCTTCTATGCCATCCCAGCTGCCTAACTGCCTGTCACCTGGCCACCTCCATAAAACAGGGTCGGTGAATTGACTGAGGGCAAGATTAGAGGAGATTAGAAGTTCAAATGTGCGTAAAGAGCATGTCCACTAATACCCTGCGATACAAATAAAAGGTATTATTATTACTTGCCCTAAGAGGCTTCTCAAGAGATCATGAAGAAACATCTTTCAAGATTCCAAGTCAGTGATGTCTTCAGATACTTAGAAGGCAGTGGGCCTTTTAGGAACTCATGCGGGGCTTCCCTCTCCACTGGGTTGAAGCCATTTTTTCTGGATTTACTTATCCGAATCTCTTAAGTGCTCGACTTGATGGCAAAGTCAGACTACAGGGACTTAGGAAGAAATGAAAAGAAGCCAGATCAATTGAGCTCGTATTGTTCCTTGAATGCACATACCTGTGTGCGTATTTGGGTGTCCGTGGATGTGCACGTCCGACCGTGACTAGTAGGAAAGAAAGTTTTAACATAAAGTTAATCTTCAGCAAAAAGGTGAATGAGTATTCAGATGTCTTGTACTGCCTTCGGTGAGACCCACTGCAGTGGAATTTTGTGTTCATTTAGCGCAACCAAAGCTTAAGAGTGTATTCTCTGAGTATAAAAAGACGGCTTTATTGAAGTTGACTCTGAGCCCACAGTAGGTGCATACTTTAAAATCTGGTTTGATGATCATGTTTCGTTGGATTGCCATTAGACAACAAAAGAATTTTGTTTTCTCACATACATTGGGCTGGACCAATTAGAATTGCAAAGTCTAAAATGAATTTGACATCATTAATTTGAAAACAAAACCAGGGAAGTTCTTTTTTTTTTTTTTTTTAAGGCACATGTATGCTACTTGAACTGGGAATAGCTTCTTCACATAGAATTTTAAGCATCTGAGATATTTTATTGTTCAAAGAAAAGTTGCTGACTTCACCACAACTCTAAGTGTAGTAAAAATGGAGCCCAGGATAGTAGACCAGTTCGGAGCTGAGGCAGAAACATGTAACCTCTGACCTCTGACTTTTACTGGAAAATGATATGCAGCATAAATCCATGGGGCCTTTTCTCTTTCAAGTGTGTGTATGTGTATGTGATGGTGTTGCTGCTCGCGGGGCTGGGGCTAAGGTGATGTCGGCACTTTCAATATGAAGCCCTATTTTCAACTTCTTCCATGAGTTTTCAAAAAGGTGTAAAAGGAATCTAAGTTCTTCTTCCTGTACTCCAAAATTGCTACATGAGGTCATAGCCTCTTGTTTTATTTGTTTCTTTTTCTTTTTCATTTTTTGCTTTAAAATATATATATATCGTCTAGGAACAGGCAGATAGCTTAGCTGCTGCTTTGAAGGCTTGCAAACTGCTGAAATGTACTTGAATTTAAAGTTGTAGCATATACGCTTTCTCAAACATAATCTGATAAAAGGATTTTGAGAGGGCAAAGGCCCTGTCCCAGTTCTTCCCCCGTGACCCATCATAACAAGGAATGAGGAATTTTGCATGTTTCCTTTTCCTTCAACAGGTGTTCTCCAAAGGCCAATTTAATAATGAATTTGATTGTAACCAGGAGACATGTATCTTTCACATTACCTGAGTTTTTTTTTTTTTTTTAAGATTTTATTTATTTATTTATTTGACAGAGAGAGAGAGCGAGAGCAGGAACACAAGCAGGGGGAATGGGAGAGGGAGAAGCAGGCTTCCCGCCGAGCACATTACCTGAGTTTTCTACTTACATTGTTTCTCTTTTGTATTTTTTCATATAAGATCACCACCTAGTTCTGTTTTTTTTTTTTTTTAAGAATTTTCACATAAATGATATCATTTGAATGAGCTCAGTTGAACCTTTCTAAAACAATCCTGGCCCCATTTGACAGAAGAGGAAAATAAGGTACGGATGCGCTGAGCACTTCGGGGAGGTCCCGGTGCAGCATCAGACCCCAAATTTCAGTTTCCTGATTATTTGTCTAACATTCTTCTCCTCATGCCCTCTTTGCCGGCTCTCCACTAAAGAACTAAGCCAACGACTCCCACCGTGATCCAAAAGAAGCTTTCTGTGTAGACTTCCCTCCCCCAACCCTTCTGCATCCCCCCCCCAACCCAGCACCTTGAGAGCTGGGGTGCAGGGGGCCCTCCTTTGGTCTTACCTGCCCTTCTCTGTGGCTTCTCGTGGGCAGTGTGCTTTCTCCCCTACTAAAGGCAGAATGATGCCTACGAGTGTTGCCGCCATTATGTCCGTGCATTTCCATGCCAACCGTGACCCTTCTAAACCTGTTTTCATCCCTGAGACCTGTGGAGCTGGGTCTTTGTGCAGCCTTTGGATTAACTGTGCACAGTGGCTTTTCCATGTTTGCCCTGCCTGCCTTTTCTGGCAGCATAGACATGTAAGCTGTGCCAGCATTTGGCCCATAGTGCGTGTCCTAAATAGTTATTTACACAGTTTGAGTCCATTTTAGTCAACTGGATAAATAACAGCCCTCTTCAAAAGATTTATAAATCCATAAATATGTCTTTATACATACCCAATAGACAGAAATAACTCAATCTGTCAAGAACATATCCAAAGAGGTGTTTCCCCTACAGACAGGAGTAATACATATTTTAAAACTTTCTCTACTGTATTGTTTGTACTGTGTTTCTTTTTCCTCATTCCTTTTCATTTTTCACCACTTCATTATGGCACCTGTGGTACACACACACACACAAAAAAAGAAAGAAAGAAATCCCTAGGCTCTAGTCCTCTGTTAAATAACCTTATCTGTGCATGACGTAGGCATACAACAGGCTGTGTCTCAACCGAGTCCTGTTCTTTTGGACTTTCAAAGTAAAAAAAAAAAAAAAAGTCATTCAGGAAATGTGTAATGTTCTGACAGATTTCAAAATACAGTGACAATTCCTAGTTAGCCTTCCAGCAATTTGGGGGATTTTGAGTGCCTGATGACTTGCCAAATTAGCGGCTGTTGTGATTGATGGAATAGTTTTAGTCCAAATTTTTACCTAAGCATAAAAATATAAAACAGAAAATCCAATGCTGGGCATTCTAAAAAGAGTATATGCAAGATACATAATTAAGAAGATGCTAAAGATTATTCTTCTTCAGGGATTTAATGTTTATTCATGATTTACATCATACATCTTTCCCCCAACTCAAATTGTTTATCATGGTAACTTTTCCTATGGCATCTACTTTCATTTAATATTAACACTTGTGGCCGTTTGCAGGAAATTGATTCTTTAATAGTGACGCTCCTTTAAGTTGGCATTGAAAAGGAAGGCCTGACATCTGTATTCGGTTGGGGGTTCTGCAGCTGTTGTTGCAACATTGATTCTGTGTAGTCCTTAACTTCCTCAAAGCACTTCCAAAGCTATGAGATTGAATCCCGATTTTATCCCTGTCTATTATTTGCCCCTTTCCCATTTCAGAAGAGAAAAAAGTAAGCTCAGAAATACTGAAGAAACTCTTGGAGTCAGCTCTAGGATCTTGTCTCTTGGCTTTACTTTGTAACTACTTTCGGATGGGGTGTTCTCACGAACCCAGGCAGAGTCTCATAAATAAGATGAGGTACACATTGGCAGATACGTGACCCTTTCGTGTGTCTTTTTTATCCTACCGTGTACGGCTGCCCTACTGACCAGATCCAGGGTCTACTCTAGGAAGCAGGTGGCTTGGAGCCAGAGAACACTAAGCACATCTGGTGCCTTTCCCCACCGTATCTGAACTCTTTCCCAGGAGGGTTGCTGCAGTCACTCTACGACTCACAAGCAGCTTTAGCGATGACTGACCGCAGTTTGCGTTTGGGCACGTCTTCCTTTTTTTTTTGTTTTTGTTTTTGGTTCAACGTCAAGAGAGATGAGTATATGATAGTAATAAAATAGAACAGTAACATATTAAGGGCTGTCAGTCAGTGTAGGTATTTCCCTCCCTCACTGTGTGACGATCACAAAGGTTTAGAGAGGCTAGGAGACTTGCCCAGAGTCACATATGGGTCCGTAGTCGAGTCAGGACCCGAACCCATACGGTGTGACTCCAGAGCCAAGCTCCTAACGCCTGTGTCCTCCAGGGCTTTCGTGTGGCGAGGAATGGAAAACAGATCGCTGATGGACACTCCTTCTGTTACCAAGTTGGGGTCTCTTCTTCCTGTGTCTGTACGGGCGGGGCCTGGCTCTGCCTCTGTAAGGATGAGGGAGCCGGGAATAGGCCAGAATCCACGTTAGCCTCAGGGGGGGTTATACTCTGCTGGGGAGTGAGAATCTGGTTTCTTGTGTTTGGTAGAATGATTGAGATGTTTACAGAGGAGCATGATGATTGATATGATTAATTTGCATCGAGAGCCTGTATCATTTTGCTCATTCCAAGATTTGTTGAATTGAGAATAGGAGCATAAAAAACAAACAAGGCCCTTTCTCTTGCAGAGCACTTCCTACTTAAAGCTCGTCTCATTTTCCTCTTTTGTGAGGAAAAAGAAAAAGTATTATTTCGATGTGGAAATTTGATGTGAAACATGGCAACTCTAAAGGGCTTTAATGATTGCTGAAGCCTCTAAAACCCACTTCTGAACTTCTCCTTTTGGGGCCAGGACTCAGTTCAACAATAGTATCTTTGCATGTTTCTTTCAAGAGGAACAATTGAAAAGCACTGCTATTTCTTTATACTAATGTGTCAATAGTTGCAATGCCCCCCAGTGTCCCCTCCACACCCCCCCCCCCGCTCCCCGCCCAGCTTTTGTCAGAGTTCAGGCAACCTATAGGCGGAAGGCAATCCCATTTGTTATTGAAGGGAATGTGAAGGCAGTTGTTTCAAGCTTGCGAGGCCAGCAGGCAGAGC